GACCTAAACGACCATGTATGTACTGTTCTTCACTAGACCACAATAAAGCCATATGCCGTCTTCCTGAGCGCATCTACGACTACTACTGTGAGATCGAAGAAATTGAGCAGGAGCTGGAATCGAATAGAGATTACTATTTTAAGGCTGGACCACCCCGAAGAGGGGAGTATCACGACGTGATCTAAGTGATCTCCTGCAATCGAAATCGCGCGGGAGAACCGCGCACCATACGGGATTGCGAAATCCACCCATCATTCGTGTTGTTGTCGCTTTAGGGTTATGTCCCACGCAGGATCGCGCATTCATTTTTCTTGTTCTTTTATATGATTTACTTTCTCATCTTTATTGCTTTATGTGCATTCATACTTATTGTTTCACACGCATTCACTTCTCATTCTTACGGTCTCATGCGCACTCACTTCTCATCCACGTTATCGTTGATTTATGTTTTACGCCCTATGTTACTTCACGGTTTCCCAGAAGTCGTTGTGTTATTTGTTAACTGATGTTATTTGTTTCGTTGCTCACGATGTTATTTGTTGCCGGATGTTATTTGTATCGTACTCTCGTGCCGAAGAGTGACATAAAGTTTAATTACCCAAGTTTGAGGACTTTTGCACTGAGTGGTCAGCTGACCAAGTATATCTGTCGATCTCACAGCGACCAAAATTTATTGAGCTGAGTCCATCGTCCACACATCGTCCACAATTTTCCACCTAAAAAGTTAATGGTAATGTTGATAATTATTGCTTATTCTTACATTTTCGTATGTTACAAAAGAGGTGGAGGTGGTGTAACGGCGAGTGGCACACTATCTTCATGCATGCTAATTACTGTGCAACCCTAGTTTTTGAAGCAAACCGTCAATTTGACTTTGTTGATGTCTATATTGAATCAAATCACCTCTTCGTCGCATCACGTTGTTCATGATGGCTACAGAGCTTGACGACTCTCTACCAATTACTATAATTGTAATTTCAATCTTGTCCCTTTTAACAAATGCAGCCCTCTTCGCTGTATATATTCGTTGTCCTCTGAGAAAGATGAACTCGTATCGGTATTTTTTCCTACTCACTGTTATAGAGGACATTCTTTATTCTATTGGACATACACTCGATATGCCGGTAGGAATCGTTGTTACAACAAGCTCTTTTGACCTTATTCTTGTACCCATAGGGAACGCTGATCAGGCATAAGACTCAACCTGGTCGGTGTTTCTTACGGGCTTCAGCATTACTACAAAAGAAATTGTAAATTACGCTCATTCTTCATTTATAAAAATGAGACAAGAGTAGATGTAATGTCAATACGCTGCCGCATGAATGGTTCGGTAGTACAGCCATGGGTTGGAAAATCGCTCAAAACTCCCGAGCTTCTATCTTTTCAAGTTGTCGACTGATCACCGTACCATTCGGTCAAAATGGAAACGGTACGGGTACTTCAGTGAAACTACACTTCAGTGCGCATACAAAAATGCTAACCAGGGAAGGATCCCAAGTCGAAGTGGCCATTTGAAATGGGACCTACACTGCTAGACGTGTTTTTGGATGCTGAGTTCAGATCTGCACTCCAAATTTGCCGAGCGTTTCTCTGAACGGAGTTATGAGGGTGGTTTCAGGGAGCTTAGCATGAGAAAACTCAAATTACATGGATGTTCCTCTCCTCTCAAGGGCTGCTTGGTGTAGTGGTAAGCGTGACGCTTTATGGGCGACAGGCTGGGGTTCCACTTTTTGGGAGACGTGATTTT